CTGCCTATATTTTTCACAATCGGTTCCTGGTTGGTTCACTTTCAGAGATCCCTGTTACTGAACCTTTCTGGCCAGCCATTTGATCTTGAGGACTGAGCGATGACAACTGTTGATGAAGGTCTGTAGTTTGTTTGAGATTCTCTTAATGACGCGCTGGCCAAGTCTCTGATCCGTATAGTAGCACTGACTGAGTTCACATTGGAGTTGAAAATCCGGATCTTATTTTTGATGCTGAGTGCTGTTGACCTCCACACAGACTTGAGAGTAGGAAAGCTTGTCTTGCTTTCCCGATTCTTGCTTTGATATCCTCATCAGTTTCGTCCACGTGTAGTTGAAACAATGCTTCTCAGGGTAGGTAAAAGAGGTTGTTTCTTTCAGGTTCCTTCGATTTATGCTGATCGTTGTCTGTTGTTGTTGTTCTTGTCCAGGAATCTTCATTACCTCTTTTCTCTATGTTCACCTGAAGGCCTATCTTCTCTGGATGCTTCTTCTGCCAACTTGTTGCTTTTCACTTGCATATCTTCCATTTTGTGGGAAATCAGACATATATCATCATCGGCGAAGTCCATATCCTCCAAGTTTTTTGTGTTAGTCCATTTTATGCCTGTTTCCTCATTGCCCGCTGTCTGTCGCATTATTCAATCTACTGCAATCAGGAAAATCATTGGCGAAAGTAGGCAGCCAGCTTGTTTTACTCCAGTCTTCACTTCGAAGGATTCCGTAAGTTTCCCGTTGTGGATTACTTGGCATGCAGCATTGTCGTACAGCCGTTGGATGAGATTTATAATTGTCGGTGGCACCTTATAGTAGCGAAGTAGTTTCCAAATCACCTCTCAATCGACACTGTTGAAGGTCTTTTCAAAGTCAACTTGTTGATGATTATTTTATTTTGTAGTCATGTATGTATATATACAGGCTTCTTGATCACAGATACGGAAGAATTCGTTTCTACTTTCTAGGTCATGTGTTTATTAATGAACTTTTCAGGGTAGCTGTACTTTTCCCACTGAAATTCCTTTTTTTTTGCTACCCTGGCCTGCTTGCTGTCGAACCTATAAATGCATAAATTCTGTATTGCATCTCCTAATTTATCCGATATTCAATCAGTTTAGTGTTATGTATTGATGCATATTATCTCTCCCTCCCCCCTCTCTCTCGCTTACTAATGCTTTCGAGATGTAATCTGTCGATACTGTTGATTGATTCAATGTAATTTAAAACAGATTTATTAATGTTGTTAATAGCAATAATTATTTAATTATTATTGTCATATATGTGTGTAGAACCTGATTGAACAGGGAGTTATCGAACAGAATATTCTTTGTCCGTTAATCAGTGTATTAAACACTTATTTTTGAATGGTGATAAGTGACTAATCCAGTTTGGGATTCGCCAGTGAGTGTTGTGTTCTCGCTGAGACTCGAACCCAGATCCTGTGTCGTTTCAAACGCCAAAGCCTTATCCCCTAGGCTACTTGGGCGACAAGAATCACCTCTCGTGCAACAGGTATCAGTTATTAACTGTCTCCTGACCGATAGCTGCTATCTTGACGTGGTGGTCGCCGGGCTTACACATCGCAATGACCCAGCTTGTGCTACACTGGCTGGAACCAATGTTCCTGCAGGTCCTACCATGCCAGGAAGGTTGTTACGATAGCGATTAGACTAAAAGCAGTTACCGGTGAAGTGTAAGAATTTTTCTTTTTTACACTATGCTGGGGATCTGTGGGCGAAGTCATACTGCTGGGGAACAAGGATGTAACAGCAGTGAGGTGTTTCCCTCAGATGACCAGCATGCCAGCCAGCTATGCTGTCTCTCTACTATGGAGGGAGAGAGCGGGTTAGGAAAGGTCGATCCCAACAAATGTACATCCCGACTTACCCTATGGTGGTCCGTAACCGGCAGTAAGTTTACTAATACGGAACCAATCCAAGAAACCAGTTCATACAGGCCGTGTGTGACCGGCCGTCCTCGAGCAGTTGTCCCCTGGGCTCTTCGGTCACGCAACACTAACCCTCTTTCTGTTTCAGGTACCCGAAGAATCAAGCGACTTCCACAGTGTTGGCAGCCGGGAAGTAACAACCGCCCACACACTTCCAAGAGCGCACGAAGCCTTCCTGAGCATCATTATCTTTTAACTGTCTAAGAGGGTTGATTATATTGGATCTAAAAAGAAATGTCGTCTTGCAGTCCTATTTATAGGATGAAATGCGCATCCTGGTAATCCTTAGACGTCGTCGAGGCAACCGTACTGTAACGGTAGAAGACAATTTGATGTCTCTATATAGCCAAATTATGTACTCCTTATTTTCAACGCACCATTTCCACAGATCTTCCGTGTGGTTCTACTTCTGACCTTCATATTGTGTTTCTTTGCGTCCCTTTTGACGTCTCCAATGTTACTCCGCAACTGTGTGTCATTTGCTTTCTGAGACATCAAATGTATGTCTCTATTATTTGATTGTTTTTTATGCCGATGAACATCTCATCGTATACTACTGATAAGTATTATCAGTAGTACACGCCACAGAACTAGTAGCGGACATATCAACAGAGATGGAACATTTCAGTCCAGTGTGAATCAATCTACAGAAGATACAAAATTAGCCTTAAAATAAACAGTTAATTACTTCATTTTTATTAGTTCAAAGAAGAATTTTCGAGAATGTGTTCGTAGTTATTCGATTTGTTTTCCAAGTGTTACCACGGACTGATTTCTGTTAGGGAACCATTGAAAACTGGTAATGGAGTAATGCACAACTGTTTCGTCCTAATTTTTGGGACTTATCGCTACTACGCACCACTCTTCGCCAAGTTTCGAACCCATGACCTTCTCGTTACAATTCAAGCTACTGGTGCCCAATCTAATGACCAGGCCATGTACTTTAATTTCTACCACAAATTCGTGATTTTAGCACTATCATTAGAGTTCACCCCGGTCGGGAGTGAGGACAAAAACTCGCCGATGGTGGTCCTGCTAAAAGAACTCTATTGTTGAGTCTGAAGTAAACATTGAATTGAATTCTATAGTTGTGGTAGCTTGTCTTGTTGCCGGAAGGCCATGGGTTCGAGGCCTGGCGGTAGGTCCTAAACTATATTATCATTATTATTATTCCCTTGGGTTCCTAGTGGAACATAGGGCTCCAAGTGCACGTCTCCACTTGCTTCTGTCTTCTGCTGTACTTCTCACCTGCATCCATGTTAGTCCATACTGTTTCAACTCTTCTTCACACGATCTCCTCCATGTCACCCTTGGACGTCCCACTACTCACCGCTTCCCTTTCGGATTCCACTCGAGCACTGGCCTGACGCGCGATGTCACCCAGCGGCCTCCTCCTCAGCGAGTGTCCAATCCATCTCCACTTTCTCCTGCATATTTGTTGGGCGATTGGTTCTTGTTTAGTTTGTTCCCATAGTTTCTTGTTGGCGATTCTTTCCGGCCATCTGATCTTCAGTATAGAGAGAGCGAAGACAGTTGTTGATAAAGGTGTTCAACAGGCTGTTGGAAATATTCTTTGTGACCCGCCAAGTTTCTGATCCGTATAGAAGAACTGACTGACTTGACGTTTGTATTGAAAATCCGAATTTAGTTGTTGATGCAGGCTGAGTGACGAGGATTTCCAGATTGGTTTCATGTTGATGAATGTGTTTCTCGCCTTCTTGATTCTCGATTTGACATCCTCGTCCGTTCCTCCTGTAGTTGAGACAATGTTCCCTAGATAAGTGAATGAAGTAATCTCTTTCAAATCCCTCCCGTTGATGGTGATTGGGGCTGGATGTTGCTGCTGTTGTTGTTGTTGGTTGATTATTTTCATAACCTCCGTCCCATCTATGTTCACCTGAAGTCCTGTTTTCATTGGCTGCTTCTTCGACCAGTTTGTCGGTTTTCGCTTGTAAGTCTTCGATTTTGTGTGCCATCAAACGTAAATCATCGGCGAAATCCAGCTCTTCTAGGTTCTTCACGTCCGTCCAGGATATCCCTGTCTTCTCGTTTCCCACTGTCTGACGCATAATCCAGTCCACCACAATTAGGAATATCATTGGTGATAATAAGCACCCTTGTCTGACTCCTGTGTTTACTCAAAACGCCTCACTGAGTTTTCCGTTGTGGATCACTTGACATTTGCTGTTGTCGTACAGTTGTTGAATAAGGTTGATGAATATTTGGGGTACGCCGTAGTAACCGAGTAGTTTCCAAGTTACCTCGCGGTCAACGCTGTCAAAGGCCTTCTCAAAGTCCCTAAAGTTGAGGTAAAGATTTGATTGCCATTCCATGCTTTGTTCGATGATAATGCGTAGAGTTGCAATTTGGTTAGAACATGATTTGCCTTTCCTGAATCCAGCTTGTTCTGGTCGGAGTTCTGTATCCAGTGCGTCCTTTATTCTCTCCAGGATGATGCGACTCAGGATTTTACTTGGCGTCGACAGGAGCATGATTCCTCGCCAGTTCATGCAGAGTCCTAAGTCGCCCTTCTTTGGTAGTTTCACTAGGTAACCTTTCCTCCAGTCAGTAGGAGGATCTTTTGCAATAATGGAGTCAGCATATCTGCTGTCGTTTCTGGGTCCGCTTTCAGTTCTTCAGGGGGTATTCCATCTGGTCCAGCTGCTTTTCCAGCTTTAAGAAGCTTGATTGCATTCATGACTTCAGTTTTCGTTGGAGGATCGGTGTCGACTTGGGGTCCTAAACTAGTGGGACAAAACAACTGTCCAGTACTCGCTATTGGTTTTCAATAGTTCTCTGGCTGATATCAATCCGCGATAAAACTTGAAAGAGAAGAATGTTTCGTCTGTACAGTCATTCTTCATATTGAAATTTAGGCTGAGTCAGTTTGTACATCATTCTAGCTGACCACCACCACCACCACCACTCGAATCGACTTTAAGTCACACAAATGAGGAGTTTTTTCAAAACAAAAGAAACCCTTATTCACTTTTTTCTTTTCATTCACACAAATTTACATTTGTTGCCGTCTTTCTCTTATCTTATCTCTCTGTTTTAGGCAATCATTATGGTACACCGAGACCAGATCCAGATTCCACTGCATTGGATAGTATATTCCTAGAACAATTTCAACCTTCATCATCAACAGATATTTCACAGATTAGTGATGATGCATGTAAAATCCCACCACCGTTACCACCTTTGAGTTCCTTTAATAATACATTCAGTGGAGGTGTTGTAAAACTCGGTGATCCTGTTCAACCGCTGCCCACATGTTCCCCGCCACCTCCACCGCCGATTCGTAATTCTTCTATCACAAAAAACTCCACTCTTGCTTGTAATAATAACAATAATAATAGTAGTAGTAGTAATCATAATAATAATAAATCGAATGGTTTTCTTACTGCTCTGTCCACAAATAGTGATAATAATTATGCTACAAAAACATCAGATATTACTAATAAACATAATAATAATAGTAGTATTGGTAATAGTAATCACAATAACAACATTGACAGTAAACATTTAAATGGAATAATTAATGATTTTGAAAGTAAAATCTATCTGCCTCGGCCAAATTTCAATCATGAAACCAGTTTATGGTCACCGACGATTGGATCACGTACAAATGGGGATAATCAAACAGTGCAAGAGATTGGTAATTCTGTGGGGGCTGTCACCACTACCAATGCTGATGAATTAGACAATTGTACACCTATTGAAGAAGGTATCGATAGTGTAAGTGTGGATATATTATATGCCTTTTTTTTATTAAAATGTCGTACATTGTTGTATTGAAGTGTCTTATCTTGTTAATGTCGCTGTTTTCCCACCAGGTTATGAATTGCTTTCTTTTGTCTATGAGAGCGAATGTCAGTATCCTGTTATCTCCAGACTGAAGTAAGTGGAATGAGGTTTCCACCTGGAACTAACTGATTGAAAGTCAAGTGTCTTGAACCAATGTATTATTGTCATTATTATTCCCTTGGATTCTGAGTGGAACATGTGGTTTCAGCAACACTTCTGCACATTGTTCTATTTTTGGCTGTCTTCTTCAGCTGGCTAGACCCACGATTGGCCATAATCTCTCATCTCCTCCTCTTTCTCGCTACATGATCTCCTCCATGTCACTCTTGCTGACGACCTACTCGTCGTCGCTTCCCATTGGGATTCCATTTTAGCGATGGCCTGCATTACGCGTGATGTCTTTCGGTGGCCTCCTCGGTTGCGTATTCCCTGATCCACCCATCTCCATTTTCCCCTACATATTTGTTGAGCAATCGGCTCTCACCTGTTGGTTTGCTGTTAGCCAGAGTTCCTCGTTGCTAATTCTTTCTGACCGACTGACTGGCTGGCCCATCTGATCTTCAGTGTGGAGCCAGTGGAATAGGGCAGCCGTTGATAATAGTCTGCAGTGGCCTGTTGGAAATCCTTTTCGTGACAAGCAGTGCAAGTTTCTGATCCGCATTGAAGAACTGACTGACTAGCTCCACATTTATGTTGAAAATCCGAATCTTGTTGTTTATGCTGAGGCGGAGAGCAGAAAATTTGCAAACTGGTTTCAGGTTGATGAAGGCATGTCTTGTTTTTCCGATTCTGGCTAGCTGGCACTGACATCTTCATCCGTTCCGCCGACCTGTGGTTCAAACCGTGCTTTCTGCTGGATAAGTAAAAGAAGTAACCTCTTTCAAATCTCTCCCGTTGATGGTGATTAGTGCTGGTTGTTGTTGTTGTTACCAATGTTGCTGTTGGTTGGTTATCTTCATCATCCCCGTCTTCTCTGTGTTCACCTGGAGTTTTGTACTCCCTGCCGGCTTCTTCAGCCAGTTTGTTGGTTTTCGCCTGTAAGTCTTCTGGTTTGTGTGATATTAAACATAAATCATTCACTCTGGAAATTCAGATCTAGAGTCTTCTTATCGGTCAGTTCAATGTATTTTTGTGTTCTCACTCCCAACGCACTGTCTGATGTATAATCCAGTCGATCGACCACAACTTAGGATATCATTGGCGATAATAGGCAGCCTACTGTATTTACTTCGAATACTTCACTGAATTTCCCATTGTGGATCACCTGACTTGTGACATTGTCATATAGCGAACTGTTGAAAGCGGTTGACAAAGACTCGGGGGTTGCGCGCTGTAGTGTTGCAGTAGGAAGGTTGTAGACTTCCTGGTTGGGGTCCTCGGGACGGTAAAAACCAATGAAGGCTGGAGACAGTCGGTGATATGGCTCAAAATCATTCTCAATAGCTGGCGCAGTTGTATCCACTTCTTGTGATTTATAATATCTAATAAAATTCTGCAGTTCTTCCATATTACTATTCTTTCTGCCTCATAGATCTGTTTATTATCTCTCTTTTGAACTTCCCTTTATTCTCTTCTCATGCTTTGTGTGCTAAATGGAGGGAGAGTGGCAGCTATAACTACTGCACGTATTTGCTGTTCCACGTTGAGACTAGTTAGTCAGTCAGTCAATGTTTCTGTTTGTTCATCTGTACTCAAGTTTATTGTTCTTTTTGTAAGTTAAAATCGTGGGTCATTTATAAGTTACATATATAAGTGATCAAGTAATCCATGAACTGAATATGCAGAAACTTTTTTGTGTGTATGTGTGTGTAATGAACTGTAAGTCGTATGTCTTCTTATACAATCTTGACGAAAGTCTTCCCCCTCCAAATCTTATAATCTGAACCACCAACCATTAGCTGATGGTTATTGGATAGATTTTCTCAAGCACTGCAATGGGGACCCGCGATTTATTATACTAACCTGAAATGTAGGGCCTATATTGACATGTTGGCCTGTTGCACGGCCGCTTCAACAATGCCTTGGGATTAACATGATCGGAATGATCAGCTACCAGTGCGTCTCGCATCTCTCTTAATCGGGAATCACCAGTTGGAGATGAAAGCTTGAATTCCCAGTGGGGGGAGTGTTGGATGATGTTTCCCACTGTGAATCCAATCTGGTTATTGTCATTTCAGACACTGAACGCCCAAGTGTTATCCATTAGGCAGTAATAACTGACTGACTTGTTTCAACATAGAACTACGCACAGAAGTGCAGAAGTTTGAGTTACCACACTCCAGGAAATACACAAAGAAAGACAAAAGAGACACCGGTAAATAGAGATTTGAAAGAACGTAAATAAGCACAAGTGCGAAGGAGAGAGAATAGTCACATGGAAAATCATTTGGATTTTATTAGATATGCCTGATGATATGGAGTGATCACATCTGTCTGTCTGTCTGTTTTCAACATAGAACTTTGCACCGACGTGCAGCAGTCCAAGTTAACATTCTCCATGTACCACACAAAGCAAGAGTAGACACTAGAAGAAATGCAAAATAGTGGCAGTAGGCAGGGATATGAGACAAAGGAATAGTAATAACGAAGAACAATATAGTTTCATTGGAAATTATTAGTCACAAGGAGTGGATGCATCTGCGACAGCCATTGACAACGATTTTCAACCATATCACCGATTGTCTCCAGCCTTCATTGGTTTTTACCGTCCCGACCCCAACCAGTCAAAAAGTCTACACCTTCCTACGTTGCTTAAACCAAATGTTGTGTAGTTCATTGACCGATGGAACCATGTTTTGGTTTGACCATCACTAGCGGCTCTTTTCCAACCTGACCCTATGTCAGCTAACATTGCCCGTTGTCGAGGAAGGCAATCAATGTCTAGGCATACGTAACGCATGTCCTATCCATCTCAGTCGATGTAACTTCACAGCCTCATCTATTGATTTCCCCTCCCACTTACCTAACACTCGACTGATGCTCAACCTCAATATTGCTCACCCTGTTATACCACCACTAAAGACGGGAGATAGACAGCAGGCACCTATGATCAAAGACAGCTAGTCAGGCTTTTCATGTCTTCCATTTTCAATGGCCAGGTTTCACTGGCAGCCATAAAGGAGGAGGGAGCGGACTGCTGAGCAGTACACACGTCCTTTAGTCGATAGCACGGCGTAAACTGGCATATGCAAAACTAGCCCTCTGTATCCGTGCTGAAATTTCATCAGCGATCAACCCGTTGGGGCTGGCTGATGTAACTTCTCAAATAAGTGAAGTGGTCAACATGCTCCATCAGCCACTTCACTCCCTATTTCTAAGCTAGGAGTCAATGTAGTCCAGTCCACTCCTGTAGCATCATCTTACATTTGATAAGGGAAGCGAATCGCATGCCAAACATTCGTAGATTGCAGCTCCCCAAGGTGTTCAGAATACATCTGAGTCAATTGAGAACGATTTCGTGCCATACCACCAATTTTATCCGGCCGGCTATTGGACCGTAGAATCCCGAGAATCCCAAGCAGCAAGGAAGTCTACGCCTGCCTACGTGACTAGCTGGCTTAAACGCACCGTTGTTGTCAATGTTTGACTGTGAAGGAAGTGCCAAGGAAGCACATTGTACTAATGAAGGCACTCTACTGAAACTCACGTAGCCGTGTAACGGCTTATGCGGAATTGTCATCTGAATTGATAACAACCAGTGGTGTCCATCAGGGATGTCCACTTTCCCCTTTTATGTTTAACTTCATCATAGATATGCTAATGGAAGTATCCTTAACTGAACTTAACGACTTAGGAATCGACTTGTTACCAGGGAATAGTCTTATGGACTTAGAATATGCAGCCAACATAGTCCTGTTAAGGGAGGATGCTGAACACCTTGAGCAGCAATCTTCGGATGTTTCGCATACGATTCGCCCCTGTAAAATGTAACATGCTGCTACAGGACTGGACTACGTCAACTCCTAGCTTAGTGATAGGGAGTGAAGTGATAGAACATGTTGACCACTTCACCTATTTGGGAAGTTGTATCAGCACCAACGGATTGATTGGTGACGAAATCTCAACACGGATCCAAAGAGCTCGAGCTGCTTTCGCTAACTTACACCGTCTCTGGCGTAGGCGTGACATCCGGTTATCAACTAAGGGACGTGTGTACTGCTCAGCAGTACGTTCCGTCCTTCTCTATGGCTCTGAAACATGGCCAATACGAGTTGAAGACATGAAAAGGTTGACTTTTTTTATCATAGATGTCTACGATCTCTTTCTCACGTTAGGTGGCATAATAAAGTAAGTAATGTTGACGTTAGGTGTAGAGTGTAGGGTAAAGAGGGAAAATCAATCGACGAGGCTATAAAGTTACATAGATTGAGGTAGTTAGGTCACGTGCTGCGCATGCCTAACCATCGCCTCCCCAGACGGACGGGCATTACTAGCTGATATAGGTGCAGGTTGGAAAAGAGTAAGTGGTGGCCAAACAAAAACATGGCCTCATCAATCCATGAAATCCTTGACAGTTAAACTGAGTCAGGTAGGGAGGGAGATGCAGACTTCCGGGTTGAGGCTCGCCCTCGGGACTCTAAGAATCAATGGCTGGAGACAGACACTAGGTGGTGACATGGCTCAAAATCGTTGTCAATGGCTTACTCAGATGTATTCAATCTCTTGTGTAATCTTTCATATTCCTTTCTACCATTACTCATTCATTCTGTTTCACTCTTATACTTGTCAAAACTCTATTGATTCTCTTCACTCATGCTGCACTTCGGTGCGAAGTTCTATGTTGAATCCAGACAGACAGAAACTAACTGTTGTGGATTTTTATGGACTGATTCCATGACCACTACTACTACTACTACTATTACTACTATCTGTGTTCCAATATAATAATACTATAAGCAGCAGTAATAGTTGTCAGGTTAATAAAACTACAT